TTAGACCCACTTGTTTTTTTAGGATTAGATTATTTAATTTCCAATTATTTTTAATCTCTTTCTATTATCCATTATTGAATGCAATTTTTATTGCATTATGATCTGAAAAGGACTCATTTACCATTTTTGTTTTTCTGCATTTGGTTGTAAGATTTTTATGTCCTAACACATGGTCAATTTTTGTGTAAGTGCCACTTTTAAAGAATTTTGACCAAATTTGATCAAGACACACCTTGTTTCTAAGCAGTTCTTTGAGGCACATGACATAAGTGACCTAAGTGATTTATTATTCTTATTATTCCCATTGTATGAATGAGGAAGATGAAGATAAATGTCTTGCCCAGGGCCACACATATAGTCACTGGCAAAGCTGAAACATGTATCCAAGTCTTCTGACTCCAAAACCAGGGAAGGAACAAGGTTTAGTTGATTAAGCTCAGGACTCAGAATCAGGAGAAGTGGATTAAGTTCTGACACCAACTGCTGTGCCTTTGAGCAAGTTATTTAAAAATAATAATTATAACTAACATGTATATAGCGTATGGTATGTGCCAGGCACTAAGTGCTTTATAATTATTATCTCACTTGATTTGATCCTTACAACACTGAGGTAAGCACTATAATTATCCTCATTTATATATAACTAACAAGTGCTATATGAATGTCAACTGTGTTTATATTACTTAACCTCTCTCTTTCTCAGGTTCCTCATCTGTAAAATGGGAATAGTAATAACACCTACCTCTCAAGGTTCTTGTGAAGATCAAATGTGATAATATTTAGAAAGCTCTTTGCCAACCTTAAAGTGCTATTTAAATACTTGTATTACTATTACTACTTCTAATCAGGTAGACAAATGTTTCCTATTTAAATAATGGAATGTTTGTTGATCTAAACTTTTGTTCATAATCATTAATAGTGATTCACTTTATGTAGCTTGTGGGCAACTAGAGTTCCGGACCTGAAAGACTCATCTTCCTGAGTTCAAATCTGGCCTCTGATACTACTTGCTGTGTGACCCTGGGCAAGTCATTTAACCCTATTTGCCTCAGTTTCCTCATTTGTAAAAATGAGCTAGAGAAGGAAATGGCAAACCATTCCAAGATTTTTGCCAAGAAACTCCCAAAAGGGGTCATGGAGAGTTGGACATGACTAAAATGACTAAACAATAATATCCAGCTTAGTTTATTTCATTGTTACTGAGTCACCTTATCACAGAAGTGGGTTATGGAGGCTGAATGGGTTATTACCTCTGCCATACTTCATTTTGATTCATTTTAACAAACATTTGGTCAGTGCTTACTATGTTTCTGGCACTGTGCTGGGCACTGGGCATACAAAGGCTAAAATGAAGCAATCCCTGCCCTAAGATACAACATGAGCAAAGATAAGCAAATGCAAGATATATATGAAATAAATGCAAAATTATTTCCAAAGAGCAAGACCATTAACAGCTGGAGGGAACAACAAAGATCTTTAAAGAAAATTGGGATTCGAAGAGGCAGAAGTAAAGTGGGACCATGTTCCAGGCATGGCGGGTAGATAGTCTATTCCAAGGAAAGGAGTCAAGAGATAGAATGCTGTTTTAGGGGAACCATGAGTGTACCCATTTGACTCAAACATGGAATATGTGAGAAAGAATAATGTTCAATAAATCTGGAAATGCAGATAGAAGCCCCCAGATTGTATATGGCTGTGTTTTTATAAGAGTTTAGTGGAGAATGGCACATTAAAAAATAGATATGACTAATATCATAAAATAAATGTTTAATATAGATGAATAAACTTATGTAAAATTAAAACACTTGTGTATAAATATATACATGCACACATGCTTCAACCTGAAAATATAGACTGCACCATTAAAATGAGATATCTTTGAAAGGAAACATGTTTATACGTATATGCATGCATATATGTATATGTAAATACAAGATATGGAAAAATATGTAAATACATATGTATATATAAGTATACAGTACACATTTTAATTATATGTAGGAAAAATAACACTATTTAGATGTCATATTTAAAGTTTATACAAGGGGCAGCTAGGTGGCGCAGTGGATAGAGCATCGGCCCTGAAGTCAGGAGGACCTGAGCTCAAATCCAACCTCAGACCAAACACTTGACACTTACTAGCTGTGTGACCCTGGGCAAGTCACTTAACCCCAATTGCCTAAAAAAAAGAAACAACCCTCAAAGTTTGGGGAGGGTGGTGGGAAGGAAGGGGGAGAAAAATTTTAAACTCAAAAGCATATGGAAGTGATTGTTGATAAATCAAAATAAATTAATAAAAAAAACTTAAGAAAATTTAAAAAAAGGTTTATACAAGTCAGATTTGGGAAAAAATCATGTTCTATATATAAAGCAGATCTGTATGTAATTAAAATAAGATATTAGCATTTTCTTGAAATCCTCCATTATAACATTTACAATATGTTTTGGAGAAGCATTATAAGCCTGTGAGAATTATATAGAATTATAGTATTCATATCCCAACAACAAAATAAGCATATGCTATCACATCAGATGTTTTTTCTCTTCATACCTTTATTTTTTCTCAAAGTGTCATTTTTAGAAGTTGGAGATTATTGCTGTCTCTTCTTTGGTTAGCCATTACAGATTTTTTTATCCTTAAAGAAAAGTTTGCCTATTTTGTAAGCAGGCTAATATAAAGGAGAACACTGCATTTCCTTTTTAAAAAAATACTTAGAAGAGTAACCTTTCTTTGTAAGTTTTCTAGGTCGTATGGATTTTTTTTTTCATAAATGAAGGGGTGAAGGAAATGTTATGAAAAAAGATGGAGATATTATAAGACTCTTTGATTCTAAGCCAAAGATGAAGATGTTATGAGACTCTTTGATTCTAAGCCAATATTTTAATAGTGTTATTCACATGGAAGTTGATGCACTTGTGTTTATTTGGTTGCAGTAAAAAGGGGAAAAATATACTGGATATGTTGGTTACAAAAGACACAGATCTGTGTAGCCAACTAGTCCCTTACCGAGGCAACTAAGTGGTACTGTGAATTTGAGTTCAAATGCGGCCTTAGATAATTCCTAGCTGTGTGATCCTGGGCAAGTCACTTAACTGCTGTCTGCCTCAGTTTCCTCAACTATAAAATAGGGATCATAATAGGACCTACCTCTCAGGACTGTTGTGAGATTAGAATGAGATAATATTTGTAAAGCACTTAGCACAGTGCCTAGGACATAGTAAGAACTTAGTAAATATCTAAATTCCTTCTCTCCCATGAAATTTTTAACGTGTTATTAAATGCTATAATGTGGAGGGCAAAGGACTTCCTTTAGGGTCAGAAAAACTCAGGTTCAAGACTTGCTTCTGACAGATGCTAGCTATAAAAACAAGGACAAGCCATATAACCTCACATTTCTTCTCAGTAACTCCTGAGAATTGAAAGCTAGAGAGCAGTTACCATCTACATTGATGAAGAGAGTTTCCACACAGTGGAAGTTCCACATGCCAATGACATCTCTGGTCTAGACCATCTGCCCCACAAAAAATCCTTAGGAAATATATTTTACTACCATTGAGCACTGATTATGCTTCATACTCTATCTAGATTTTTCTCATTTTGTATAAAAAGAACAATTTGAAATAAACTTAGTTTTTATTTGAGGACAATATTAACTTCTGCTGATGGTGTCTTTACTTAGCAGGATATAAGTTATATGTTTAACATGGCATAGATAATCCAAATGAACCCATTGCTGATGGGATACTACGGTCATCATTAATTCATATTTATTGAGATCTCCTTCAGTGTATGTCATTGTGTCTTACAAAAAGACTTAACTGTTCGTGAGCTACTTTCCACAGAAGAGACATTTGTTGATTTATTCCATTTTTAGATTCATTCCTTTTTAACTCCAATAAAGCCCCTACTCTTTTACTTATAAATATGTGTAGTTTCTGAAGTATAAGTTCTTGACCTTTTATGTGTCATAGACCCCTTTGGTAGTCTAGTAAAACCTATGAATTCCTTCAGAATAATATTTGAAGTGCATAAAATATTAGGTATAAAGGTGTGTTTGTGTATGTGTATATATATTTTTGTGTGTGTATCTCTCTCTCTACCCTGGGATCCATGAAGTTAAATATATATATATATATACATTTAATCTATATAAATATATGAACTTATATATATTTAATATATCAACATATATTAAATTAATTCTAATTAATTTATTTATTAATTATATCTTTGATTTAATTAGCTTATGTTAAATATACAAGTTCATATATTTATATAGTATATATATATTATATACATATATTTAAGTTCATGAATCTCAGGTTAAGAACACTTGCCCTAGAAGAAGGGCAGAGAAAAGAATAAAGGAAATATTACAGATTTTTCCTCCTCCAATCACAAGTTACAAAGGCAAAGCAGCTGGGATAATTCTGTTCAGACAAACAAAAGTAGCATGACTTTTTAAAATTATATAGACAGAAAATGGAAGGAGAAAAAGAGATAATCTGTGATTGCATTTATGTACTTACTTCTGCTCCTTATTTAAACTGAATGCACCTGCACTTGGAAACAAAGGTTCTAAGTTCAATGAGTCCAGTGAGATATAAAACACCATTTAGAAGAGCAAGTTCATTGTGTTCCCTGCTGTTTGTTACGTGAACACTAGGGGGCAGCACTAAAATGTCCTATTATTGTTTGTTATTGATTATGCACGTACTGTATACTAAGTGCCAGGTTTTATTGTTCCAGAGTATTGAATGTCCCATTGATCTCAGTGGGTAAAGATGTATATAGAGGAAGGCAGGCATTTCTAGACCATTGTTTCTGCTTTAGTCAGAGGATGCTTTAAAAGACTCAGAAACATTTCCCATCCTGTATTTGATACTGTAAGAAATCGCACATTAACTTGAGGCATTATACTTTTTAGCTGCTTTAGACTTTGGAGTTGATAGAAATTTTTTCACATAATTCTTTTTTCTTTTCTGACCCTGTTTCTTAGGCACTTTGGAAAGACATGAAACAGGAGAGAGAGCAAGAGTGATTCTTAATTGTTGTGAAGATTCACAGCTTTTCAAGCCTGAGCCTTTATTTGCAGTTGCTTCAGAAACACACAAGCACAAACATGCAGATTACAGGTCCTCCAGTTCCTCCCAACTTGGCACCTTGTCTTATCCTATTCCTCATGCCGAATCTTTACCTAAGGTAAGTCAAAGCTAGATTATTATTTCACAAGGCCAGTCAATAACAGAAGTTAAAAAAATGTGAAGTGATAATAAAACTGATTTAAAATATTGACATATTTCCAGCAGAATTCAAAGACTTGACCATGCCCTACATTTCATCACTTCTGCCTAGGTATTTATGGATAACTAACTGAGGAATATCTTCCTATATTTGGCAATGGCATACAGTATACACTTTCTGACAAATGAGGTTTTCTTTTCCTAGTTATGATGACTGAACCAGCCTATTGTGAATTCTGTGTGACAGACAATTTGAATACTCTTTCGTTTGGAGAAGGATAAATGTCTAAATTCCTCAATTTGGCTCACGTCATCTTTCAGCAGAGAACATTTGTATTTGTTTCTAAATGTGAATATTTAAAAACTATAAGAAAAATATAGACAAAGAGGTATCAAATGTATCTCTGTTCTTCAGTATATTCAGCATTGATGGGTTAAAATTTGCTTCCTATATATTAGCCATATACACACACTCATACACATATACATACCCACATATATATACATACATACACATGTATTCCTAACATTTGTTTATATCAGCATAGAGGGTAGTCAAGCTACTAAGCAGAAGTTTTCTCTGTAAGGATTACTCTTACTTCTAAATAATTACCTGTAGAGTGAATTAAATTACAGCTCAGTTAAGTTACCTTGGGATACTGGATTTACTTAACTTTCCTTGTTCCACACCTTCCAAAAAATGATCTACAAAAGAAAGAGAGAAAAAACAAATATCACAACAAGCCAACTCCATAAAGATACACAAGAAAATGGCAACAACTGTTGAATTTAATGTTGACTTTTTCCACAGCAGTGTGGAAATGGACAAGCGAGGAATATAGATAGCCAACCACTTAATAATCTGAATTCTACTGTGCAAACAAATGCTATGTACCATTGTATTCATATTATATCTGTTTTTGATAATATTCTAGTTCTTTTATAAATTTTATAAGCAAAACATCACTTTGAGTTAGAAGAAATAAGTCTTAAATCTAAGATGTTACCATTTAATGCAGGTAGGTCAATTAGAATTCTTAGTCTCCTTTCTCTTTTTGCCATAGGTGTGATGTGTTTCTCCTATATTCAGCAATATGGTGGAATAGGAGTAACTCTTGCATATTTCATTAGAAAGGGCATAATATTTTGAATAAGAAAACCTAGGTTCCAATTCTATCTCTGTCACTTACTACCTTCCTGACCTTGGGCAAATCATTAAACCTATCTAGGCCTCAGTTTTCTCATCTATAAAATGAGTTGTACCAGATGACCTCTACAATCCTTTCTATCTCTATTTCTACAATCTTCTGCTCTTATGAACACTTAGATGAATAGAAAGGAAGAAGAGTTTTGCAAATAATTTATCAGTGGATCAGTCTCATGCCAGGAACTAGGGGGTCACTTGTGACCCTCTGTCCTGGGAAATTCCCCTTGGCTTAGGTCTTCCTTCCTTCCTTCTTCCTTCCTTCCTTCCTAGGAACTAGATTCAAATCCCACCTCTACCACTGTGAGACCCTAGGCAAATCATTTAACTTCACTGGGCCTCCGGTTCCTCAACTATAAACTTAAACAGTTACGTTAGATAGACTCTGAAGTCCCTTCCAAATCTAGATCTATTCTTTAAACCTTCAAAAATTTGAAATTTAAAAATATTATGGATTTTATTATTCCTTGTTTTATCATAGTTAATAAAAATATATGTCATATATTTCATTTTAGCTTTGCTTCAGTTTTTCCAAGCTACAGAATAGTGGAGGTACCATCTTGGTTTCTCTAACTCCTTCTATCCTGGCACCTTCTTTCTTTTCTGCAGTTTTTGTACCTAACAAGCACCAGATAAAACAAACTTTCCTTCCTTTGAGCAGAGAGAAGATTGCAAATCCAAAGATGCCCTATTCTCTTAACTCTTTTTTTCCCGTTTATAATGTTATTAACTGAAAACTCTTAAAATTTACATATCAGAATTTCTCAATTTGAATTATCAGGGATCATATTGCTATTTCTTTTCTCTATGAATTTTGTAAAATTAGAGACATACCTGAGTTTGCTTGAAACACGGAATGCATAGGTAGATGCAGTGTCTTTCCTTAGTATTGAATGAGCAGAAAGGGATTTGGGATTCTGTTCATTTTATTTTTTTATTACATATTAATTTCCAAACTATCTCCCTCCCTCCCCACTCTGCAGAGAAGGCCACCTACACACGCACACACATACACTCACACCCCCATACTATGCATACTTCTATTTATCAGTTCATACTCTAGAGATGGATAGCTTCTTCCTTCATAGGTCCTTTATAGTTGATGTGACTATTTATAATATTCAAAATAACGTAGTCATTCACAGTTGTTCTTTGAACAATATCACTATTACTATATACAATGTTCTCTTGGTTCTGCTCATTTTACTCTTTATTATTTCATGCAATTCTTTCCATCCACAGAGGATCAAATAGCACGAGTAAATTGTTAAGTAGGTTATATGAAAAAAAAACTAAAGAATGGATTTTATATACCCAGGAGACAAAAAAAGCAAAAACTTTGGGAGTAAGGAAATATTACTTATTCATCTAAAATATATACAAAGGGGTTAGTATTATATTAGAGAAGGAAAGTTACTTTTCTCTTTTTCTACTGAGGAAACTAATTCTTGTTAATTGAGCATTTTACAGTTAAAGATCATTATCTTAGAGTAACTTCAAGATGTTATGGAAGTATTATTATTGCCATTTTATAGATGAGGAAACTGAGGTTTGACTTCACCATAGTCACAGAATTAGTAAATGGATGAGTAGTCCTGTGTTTGTTCCATTGATAGCCTCTCCCACAACACGCAGCAGAACAAAAACAAAATAACAGAATGGAAGAACAAAGGGAGGAAATGAGTTTAGAAATCAGCAATCTTTTTTTTTTTCTCGAATTATGGCTGAACCATTTGCAACTGAATTGCATGGGAGGCACAAAATATTTTGTTTTTAAAAGAATTTCTCTAGATTTCTTGTCTAAACAGTGAAGAATAAAACAATTATTTTGCAAAAAAAAGGTCACCCCATCCAGGGGTGTCCTTCCAATGACCTTTTAAAAGTAATTTTCCTCTGGGACTTGTGCTCCCCTAATATTATCTCAGATTCTTAATAGCATATGGGGGCCAGAAGGAGGTAATTGTTGTCCAATCACTTTCATCTGTGCTTGAAGAATTTTTTCCCCTCATGCTTTCATTCAATCGTGTGACAGTTGTCATAGAATGAACATTGAACTTATTAGCTATGCGATATTTGGCAAGCCAAAGTCCCCCTTTTTCCCCCCTCCAATCAATAAAATGAGAATGGTATTTTTCTTACATAGAGAGACAGCATGGGTTAGTGAATCACACAAAGACCTGTAATCAAGAAGTCTTAGGTTCTAATCTCACCTCAGACACTACCATGTGAGTCTGGGCAAGTCATATAACCTTTTCAAAACATTTTTTTCTCATTTCTAAAATGAAGAAAGTGATAACCCCTTCCCTATAAGGTTGTGTGAAGATGAAAGACAAGGTAATCTATATGAAATACTTCATAAATCTTAAAGTGCTTTGAAATATGAACTTCAACCATAACTAATTCTACCTGATAGTATTATCATAATAATCAAGTGAGGTTAATATATGTAAAATACTTGATAACTATAAATTAGCTAATGTTATTAATATTGCTTGTTTGTGCTTTTCTTTGTATCCTTAGTACTTAGCACAGTGCCCGGCCTCTGGTACATGACTAATAGAGGCTAGTTCACTGCCTGACTGACTTAGTTAAATTACAAAAATTAAGCAACAAAATCCTTTGAGCACTTAATTTGTGCTGAATGTTGCATTAGATGTTGTGGATGATTATAAAAGAATCAGAAGATCTAGTGTTCCCTGACCTTCCAGAGTTTATGGTCCAGTTATTCAAGTCAGTCCTACTCAGCTGACCTAGAAAAATGAGAATTTAAGAATACCTTGAAAGATAAAGCTGTGTTAATTGATGCCACACATTTTTTTAAATGCAGAAGACAAAGCAAATAGAGTTAAATGAAAATGTTTTCATTTCAAAATAAAATTATGATATCTACTTATTTTTATTTAAAGTATATTTGCACTAAGAGAAAGTATAAAAGTTAGAGTAATTTTTAAATTAATTTTTAAAATAAGTTTTTATTGATATTTTCTTTTTCTTTTATCACATGTAAGCCTTTGTCTCCTCTCAAAAAGCAGTCTCACGTGACAAATGGTATATTTTGGAAAGGAAAAAAGTACAATAAATTGACCATTGAATAAGTCTGAAAACATGTGCAATGTATAACATGTGTAGACCTCCCACTTCCATGAAGAAGTGGATTGAGGCTATCCTCTCATATCTCTTTATTCCAAATTCTGTTTGATCTTTATAATTTTGTTACTATGTGTGTGTATGTATATATATATATACACATACACACATATATGTATATACACATATATCTATATCTATCTATATGCTCTTATTTTTAACAGCAAGTATAATTTGGGGGCAATGGTAACTTATCACTTTCCCCAAGATTCTATTCCCTCTTCAAATACAGCCATAGTATTCATTTCTGTGGAAAGGGCTACTAGGGTGTGGGTCACACTCATTATAGAATTACTGAGGTTTGGTTATATTGTGATATTCACTCAAATATTTAAAACTCTGTCTTAAAGGAAACTTCTTGAGGTCTTGAATTGCCTCACATATGATGAAATGCAAAAAAAAAAAAAAAAGTCATGTCCTAAGAGTGGATGTAAACCTGAGCTCCATGAGGCAAGGTACTGTGCTTCACTGAAAATTTTGTCTCTCACTATAGCCTTACCCTAAGGCTCTGTACATATTAAGTGCTCCACAAATTTTCTGATGAATGCATGATTATCAGTGCATCCAGTGCCACTTCCAGTGGCACAGTGCTTTGTCCACAAATTCCC